TTCTTCAGTAATGGTGAAATGTGGAAGAAACAACGGCGCTTTGCTCTGTCAACACTGAGGAACTTTGGGTTGGGAAAGAAAACAATGGAGCTGGCCATCTGTGAAGAGAGCCGCTTCTTGCTAGATGAGATTGACAAACAGAAAGTTACACAATACCTGGTTTGCGTGTATATAAGAATCCATTTAAGGTAAATAACAGGACTCATTTACTTTTTGTCTTTCTCAGGAGCTGCTTTTGACCCAACAATCCTGTTCAACAATGCTGTTTCCAATATCATCTGTCAAATGGTGTTCGGCCAGAGATTTGATTATGCAGACCACCAATTCAGGACAATGCTAAAATATATATCTAAAAGCATTCAATTAGAGGGCTCCATTTGGGGCCAGGTAATGAAATAAATAATTTTAAAGAAATAGTTCACTCAGAAATGAAAATCTGCTCACCCTTAGGTCATCTAAGATGTTGATGAGTTTGTTTCTTCATCAGAACAGATTTGGAGAAATGTAGCATTATATCATGTGCTTCCAAATAGATCCTCTGCAGGGAATGGGTGCCTTCAGAAGGATCCATTGGTGAGCAATTTTCTCCAAATCTGTTCCGAAGAAACAAACTCTTCTACATCTCGGATGACTTGAGGTTGGGTAAATCTTGAGCAATTTTTTATTTTTGGGTGAACTATTCCTTCAAATATCTATTCAAGATTAATTCTGGTCATGCAGCACCAGTACAGACACATGAGTAAATAAAAATGTTTTTCCTTCAGCTCTATGAAGCATTTCCAGCCATTATGAAGCATCTTCCTGGGGCTCACAATGACATGTTCAGTAACTACAAATTATTGCAAGCCTTCGTTAAAGAGGTTGTTGTCAAACACAAGGCCGAACTGGACCCCTCAGAGCCTCGGGACTACATTGACAGCTTCCTTATTGAGATGATGCAGGTAATACAACTATCAAAATGACAGGAGAACTTCAAACTAGCCTCTTGCACTTGCATTTATTTGTAGGAATACAGCAACTTTACTTTAATTGACGTCTTCCATCCCTGAACAGAAGCCACATGAAACAACAGATGGTTTTGATGAAGAGAACATCGTTCCATGTGTTCTAGACCTGTTTCTAGCCGGGACCGAAACTACATCCACCACATTATGTTGGGGTCTCATATACCTCATCACTTACCCAGAAGTACAAGGTGAAAAATACACTCTACAAAGAATCTATGCATAATCCATAGATAACTGACATTTGAATTGATGGTATTAATTGTAGAAAAAGTCCAGGAGGAGATTGACAGAGTGATTGGACGCTCAAGGGAGCCGAGTATATCCGACAAGGTCAACATGCCCTACACTGAGGCTGTCATCCATGAGATGCTGAGATTCGGAGACATTGTACCAATGAATGGCTTGCGGGTGGCTGACAAAGACACAAGCATTGGAGAGTGCTTCATCCCAAAGGTGAGTGATACACGTTCATTTATTTAGCTAACTTTCTATCTTGCTATTGTAAAAATAATATCAATACCAAAAGAGATTAATTTGGCTGATTGACAAAAAATGGTTCCCTCTGAAAGGGATCAATGTGATAATTTGTCTAAATTATGAAATCTAACTCTTCCTATTTTATTGTTTCAACCAGGGTACAGCAATTTTACCCATATTGCACTCTGTTCTCTTTGATGAGAATGAATGGGAGACACCCTACAAGTTTAATCCTGGGCACTTTTTAGACAAAGAGGGCAAGTTTGTGAGGCGGGACGCATTCATGGCCTTTTCTGCAGGTAAAGTGAAAACAGAAGTACAAAAAGAGACTTTATGATGAATTATTTACACTACCATTCAAAGGTTTGGGGTCAGTAAGGTTTTTTGTTTAAAAAAAAAAAAGTATATTTTTATTCAGAAAGAATGCATTAAATGTATCAGTGACATTAAAGACTTTTATATTGTTACAAAAGTTTCTATTTAAAATAAACAATGTTCTTTTGAACTCTCTATTCACCAAGGAGTCCTAAAAAAATGTATTGCAGTTTCCACAAAAATATTAAGCAGCACAATATCGTCCAAAATTGTCTAATTAGAATGACTTCTGAAGGATCATGTGAAACTGAAGACTGAAGTAACGAATGCTTAAATTATTAATTATTAAATTCGAAAAATATTTCACAATATTACAGATTTTACTGTATTTTGATCAAATAAATGCAGCCTTGGTGAGCAAAATCCTTGTTTTCAATAATAATAAAAAAGCTTATTTACATTAACGTCTCCCCTCTGTCTCTCTCGCAGGAAAGAGGGTCTGTCTGGGGGAGCAGCTCGCTAGAATGGAACTCTTCCTGTTCTTTGTCATTTTATTCAGAAAATTTCGATTTTCAGCTGCCGAGGGTGAGAAACTCAACCTTGATGGAGTGATAGGAGTAACACGCACCCCACACCCCTTCAAGATCCATGCAACGACACGCTGAACAAACCATACTCACTATGAGAATTCTTTTATAGCAATACTTCAATATTATAAAAAAAGATATAATACACATTAATTAATATTACATTATGTTTGTTTAACATGTCTAAGAAAACAGATCAGTGGAGATTATGGCCTTTCTTTTGCTGACTCACTTCTTGTTTGATTAAAGGGGTGTGAGAGAATGCATCTTTAGTCCCATATCAAACCTGCAAAAACCTGCTTAGTAATGCCTAGTTTACAAAAACTAATAGTGTTGGATGAACATTGCCCTAGAAAAAAATAGAGAAAAGGCCATTGCGACAAGTTAAACATTATAGAATCATCTAGCTGTTGGCACTGATTTCAGATGAAGGGGATGAAGTTCAAGTTTTTAAGGTGACAGATAATGCATAGAGAAAAATAATAGTCAGCAAACAGAAGCAAGATTTTGCTGTGATAATAAACAATGTTGAAATCCATATTGTAACAATTTGTTTGTGTTGATTTTTTTGTGTGCCCTCTCAAGGCTGAGGAAATATTGCCTCATCCATTTGTATTGGCTGGATTTCTGATCATTAAAACAAGCATTTTATTGTGTATTCATGTGAAGGCAAATGCTACCCGTGCAAAATATAACATATTAAGTTTTTTGTTTTCATATATTTCATTTATTCAAATTAAATTAAATCCGAGTGTAAATTCAGCACCATTAGTGACACGTAGCGGGAAATGTTTAAATTAGTCGCCATCTAGTGGTGAGACTTGAGTAAAAACTTCAACCTTGGGATCATTAAAACGCAAGAAGGCAGTATTGCAAAACAAACTTTAGAGTGTTTATTCATCACATGTAAATGAAGGCTGCAAGTGCTCTTTAACTCCAAATATTACTCTAATACCATATGAATCCAATCTTATTATTTATCATCTCTCACAAACAATGGCAGTGCTCATAAAATTGAGTACACAAATTTAAGAGTTTTTCCTTGGAACACATCATACATAAATATTAGCATTTCAAAAAACATTAGTATTTACCCATCACAGGCCAAAAAGCCTAGTTGAATAAAACACCAGAAAAGACAAATCAGAACCGCAATGATTAACCTTACCATTTAAAACAGAATTAAGAGTACTGTATCTCCCAACATAAACAGAGTGTGTTTTATTCGAAATGCAACAGCTAGTCTATTAGCAGATAGCTCAGTCGGGTCAACCTAAGCAGGAGCAGATTTTCACAATACAGCAAAAGCCATTTCATAATGCAGCTATGTTTTACAAGTCATGCATATATATTTAAAGAATGGCGTACAACACATTCAAAGCCGTCACAGCAGTTTGCTATGGCCTCCTATAATTCTGTGCTGGTGTTCAAATCCTGATACTTGAGGTCTTCACACAGACAGGAAACATTAAGTGGATAAAAAAGGCCCTTCTGCTTGTTAAAAGAGCATGCAAGAGTCCTATCACAGTCAACTGAATATAAAATACCATAACCGACTGAATGAAGCACCTGGATTCAGATTTAATTAATTAGAGTTATTATATGCATGTCTTTTTAATGTATACATTAATGTAGTTTTAATGCATGTTGTTTGAGAAAGTCACTGTAATAGGAACAAACGAAGAATTTTGGTGTCCAGCACCAAATACATTATCATCCTGATCGACGGATTTTGATTGGCTAGGGCAAAATGTGCAGTCTGCATATACTTTCAATGTTTTATATAACATACCTGCGCAATTACAAATATATTCCACGACTGCATAGTGTATCGTTGGAAGTCATTTCTAGCAAAAGCATGCATGCTACCATTACAGGATGCATTAAATGCATTTCTTCCCGCACAATCTGAGTGAGCCTGACAAAAGTGACCTGTGACCTTTAGTATGGATGCTGGTTCAGAAGTGACCCTGCTGCAGACTGTTACAGGTGCATGTTTAGTACTGAAAGTGAAAAAGACTGCTACTGTACATAATTGTGTGCTGTAACTTTCATCAGAGTTCAGCCCCTTATGTACATTATTATACACGTGTAACTGTACAGAGTGATCACATGGGGACATGCTAATGTTCATCATGGCAGGCTTGTCCCCTTGTTTAGAAGTGTACTTAAGGTCACTTGAGTGTACATGTGCGGGAAAGAAGGAGAAGAGCTGGAAGCTGGGAGGTACTGAGGACAAGGTTACTTGGAAGAAGTGGCAGGCATGTTGATGGACATGGTGCGCCGGGCGTTGGTCACCTGACGTTGCTGAGCCAGGAAGGACTGGCCGGGTGACACTAGAGAGTTGGATCGCCCGCTAAGCCGTGACTCGATTGCAATCTTCTGGAAGTTCAAACTCTGTGTTTTGCACAATATGACAAAAGAAAATTCCAGAACATAAGCAAATTACTGCAGACTGTTTCTTTTAAAGTTTTAGATATTTCAAGACATTTATTTCAATTTAAACTATCAACTAATAGGGACATTTTTAAGTGACATTTTGACATCACTATTTTGAAGAATGCTGGTAGCCAATATCGCCAATACATGTCTACAGACAAAGACTATACGGGAAAGAAGGAGAAGAGCTGGAAGCTGGGAGGTACTGAGGACAAGGTTACTTGGAAGAAGTGGCAGGCATGTTGATGGACATGGTGCGCCGGGCGTTGGTCACCTGACGTTGCTGAGCCAGGAAGGACTGGCCGGGTGGCACTAGAGAGTTGGATCGCCCGCTAAGCCGTGACTCGATTGCAATCTTCTGGAAGTTCAAACTCTGTGTTTTGCACAATATGACAAAAGAAAATTCCAGAACATAAGCAAATTACTGCAGACTGTTTCTTTTAAAGTTTTAGATATTTCAAGACATTTATTTCAATTTAAACTGTCAACTAATAGGGACATTTTTAAGTGACATTCCATAAAGGGATAGTTCACTCAAAAATGAATTATGTCATCATTTACTCACCTTTTACTTGCTTCAAACCTGTAAGAGTTTTTGTGTTCTGTTGAACACAAAAGAAGCTATTTTGAAGAATGCTGGTAGCCAATATCGCCAATACATGTCTATAGCTACTTTCAACTGCTTGGTTACAAACATTCTTCAAAATAGATTTTTTGGGTTCAGCAGAACAAAGAAACTCTTACAGGTCTGGAACAATAAGAGGGTAATGTAAATTATGACAATTTTTGTTTTTGGGTGAACTGTCCCTTTAAATAAAATAATAACAAACACATACATGCATAAATAAATCATTTTTATATCATCTTTAATTGCAGCACCTTAAATTGAAATATACAAACAAATAAATGGCTTACAGAATCTTAAATTGAATAAATAAATAACAGCATATTTAATTTACACTGTACTTTGCAAACTATTGAGTCCTGTCTCTGTACCTTATTATACCAAGCTGTCACAATTAACTTCTCTTCATATTCCCTCAGTTTGGCCTGCTCACACTCCCGCTGAGTAAAGAAGAGAAGATGAGAAAACATATGAGTGAAAAGAGAAAGAAACAACAAAAATAATTCAATTGTGAGTGAGAAAGTAAATCTGAAATTGCTAGATGTAAATAACATGTAAAACAGAGAAGAGATGCCTGCTCTACCTCCAGAGCAATGATCTTCTTCTCTTTTTCAGAGAGCTGCGCTTTCAGTGACTGAATCTCTGCTGAGGCTGGATTTAGCTTGGGATCCAGAGCTCGTATCACCTTGGAAATGCACAGTATGATGTAATTTATGAGTAATAACTCTGTTATAATAAGGCATGTAAAAGAGCTTAAAATTATGCAAGAATGCATATATTGGCTGGTTAAACCTGTAGTTATTTAATATGCAGAGTATGACAGAATATATCAAGTTTTCATCAGCTCTTAATTTTACATGATTCAATAACATGAAAATATAGAGGACTTCAAAATGCCTACAAAACTGTAACAGACCAGAGCATAAGACAGTCAGTGGTAAAGCAGGCTATGTATTTTAGAGCTGCAGTTAATGCAAGTACATCACGGGCTTTCTCCAGGTACATCTTGTATCGATCCTCCATCGCTCTCATGTCCTCATCTTTCTTCTTCAGTGCTGCAACCAGCTCATCCATCTTCACACCTGAAAGTGACATTTATCTCTAAAACTGAGAGGAACTTTAAAGATTTAAAGTTTAAAGACTCAAAAAGGATCATAATATCACTCTATATCATGGACATCAAAGTTTACAGTTTGACACAAAGTTGATGGTTTGAGTGGGTGTATGTGACTCAGTCTTTTTCTGAGGTCATGAAAAGCAATGTGGGATAAAATAAAGGATCAGGTCGAAAGTTAAAGGCTAACTGGTTTGAGTAGCATCTGGCTGGAGGTCCTCCAACAGCTCTTTCTTCTTCATGATTTCATCTTGTGCTTCATTCAGTTGCACCCTGGGAAAAAAACATAAGGACCATCCATTTCAGAAAGTGCATAAGATGCTCAAACATAGCTAAACCAACAAAGAAATCAAATTTGATTAAATGTCTAAACTTACATATGAGCATCCAGCTTCCTTTTCAGATGAGACTGTATGAAAGCAAACATACAATGCGACTTTTTAATGAAAAGTACTACTTCCAGAATGAAATCAAAGACTAGATAATTTGCAAACCACATGCTCATGTATCACTGACAAAAAAAATGGGCAAAAACAGCACCACCAAGTGGTTCAAACACACTTACATCTTCAGGTTTGGCTCCTTGTGTCTGCAAGGCCTTCTGCAGATCCTCTACCTGCTGCTGGAGTTCACCGATTCTTTCTCTGTTTAACCTTAATACACATAAACAACACATGTTCATATGTAGAAAAGCTACTGTATGGTTCGATAAGTTTACATTTGATATATTATGTCAATCTGTACCTGTTCTCAGTGTCCAGTTGGCTACGTCCGCGCCGGGCCTCCTCCAGCAGCTCCTGCAGCTCAGTTATGCGCTCATTCTCTGACTCCTCCTGCTGCAGCCGCAACATCTTGTTCTCATGCTGCAGACGAATGAACTTCTCCCTGGAGAAGCAGAAAAACACATCAACATATACAAAATACATGTATTTATACTTCAATGATAGCTAAGATTTTATATGCACTCTAGATGTATGTGAATCACAAAGACATTAGGTTCAGAATACTAGTCTTGCTATTCACCTTCTGTTTGAAGTGTGATATTAAAAACAGTAGTAAACACAACCATCTCCTTCACTCATTATTTGATCAGACTCCCAAATATGAAGACAATTCTGAACAAAATTAATCACAACTTTCCATTCAAAGAATCTTAAAAAAAGATCAGTTTCCACAAAACTGTTTTCAACATTGATAATCATAAGAAATGTTACTTGAGCACCAAATCAGCATATTAGAATTATCAAGTGATACTCAAGCCTGGAGTAATCTACTTTACCCTTACAGGAATAAATGGCATTTTAAAATCCATATTTAAAATTAGGAAAAAATTTGCAAATCTGTATGCTTTACTTCCTATATATAACATACCTGTACTCAATGGGCAACATCTCAGCTGCCAGGTTATCATGGCTTGGACTTCCTGTTTGATACTTTCCTGTGAAGTGTGAAATAAGCACACGTTCAAGTTTAATACCATCTTCTAAACTAAATTTTCAGTTTGTGTTTACTGAGCTGTGAAGTGACCCAGACAGATCACTTGAGCTGGGCTGAAGGCTGCACTGTGGTCGGAATATAAATCTAACAGGCTGTACTGCCTCTGAACTAGCAGATTTGCTTGAATTTAAATTGGCTACGCCAAACGAATCACAGGAGTGGGAGGAACTGTTATGGCTCTCAGCAGAGCCCGCCTGCACTGATTCATGTCTGTGAGCAACAGTCTTCATTCAAATGCAATCTTTTCCTAGCGGCACATGGCACCATTGCCAGGTGTGGTATCTGCAAACATACTTGCGTGTAATAGCTGGTCCTGTTGGGCCTGAGTGCATCGCAGCTCTTCATTAGTCTCTCTGAGAGTGTCCCGCTCAATGCTGATCCTCTGATGAATCACACACAAATACAATGGTCACAAGGTTTTGGCATGTGTATGAGTAATTGCAGGTGAATATGTCAGTCTACCTCTTTCTCCTTTAGTGGTTGTGTGTATACACATAAACTCCAAATTGATGCAGTTTTATACTTAATTAGCAAATTAAATTAAACAAATCCGCTGTTAATGTTAAGCATGTTAAACCTCCCACACCCCAACAGCAAATGCGTATTATTCTTGTTTTAGCGTGTACTAGATTTGCATTTAAAAACATTGTGCTGCCCCACTACTCACCACAAAAGGAAATAAACCAGTTTACAAAAAATAACAAAAAAAACATACTTTCAAAACTAACTAAACATTAAATAATTTATCCATTACAATTGTGTGTATACACATAAACTCCAAATTGATGCAGTTTTATACTTAATTAGCAAATTAAATTAAACAAATCCGCTGTTAATGTTAAGCATGTTAAACCTCCCACACCCCAACAGCAAATGCGTATTATTCTTGTTTTAGCGTGTGCGCCAATATATAACCCAGTAATTTCAGCACTGAATCCATGAGCTCTTTTTGCCACACAAAACCCCCAGATAAGACCTGTTTTTCAGTGGTTAGATTGGTTAGTGGCAACGCAGTGTTTTAGTTTCAGTTAGGCTAGGTTGCCATGCATTTGTTTAAACTTACCTCTCATAGGCCATGGATACTTTTACAACTTAATCTGTCAAGAATCAGCAACACATGAATTTCTAACCCATTTATGTGCACAGGAAAATTAACATAGCAGTTCAAATCCGGCAAATGACCTTTAAATGTACTATATTACAACAATTTCCAAAAGGAAAATAGATACCTAAAAATGTCATGAAATACTGTACATGACAGATTATTTATTTGTAAAGCTAAAAAACACAGCCTCTGCAGAAACAAACAAAAAATACTTGCACTTATAGGCAAAATCTGTTCATCCATAAAGGTGAATGAACAGAACAGCAGAAACCAGAAATGCTGTTCACTGACACTTACAGTCTGCAAACATAGCCACTTAAACAAATGCTGTCTCTGGATTTCTTTGACCAATGCCTTTTTTTATGTCTAATATTTCAGCACCTGTGTATATTCATATCTAAAACAAATAATAATAGTAATAATATTTATGTGCCATTTTGGTTTCGATGCATGAACAAATTGTGCCACAATCTTACTTAAGTCTGTCACAAAAGTATCAATAGTTGTCAAGCAAGCTTTATAGCAGAATTGAGTTCATAATTTATAAAATTTGCTACTATGACACGGTTATAGAACTGAATAATGACATTGCTTTTTTTGTAGAGCTGCTTTACAACCTAAACTGAAGTCATTTCATTACTGAGCTTTTCCTGTTTATTACTGTTAGGCCCTTTGAAATCTGTATATTACTGTATATAACTTGTGACTTGACTTTTAACATTCCTAATATTATTGTATCTTTGTTAATACAAACCCCTCACCTGCATGTCGAGCTCCTGACAGCGCTGTGCCAACTCTTCTTTCTCTGCCATGACTTCAGTCAGATCCTCCAAGGCTTTCTTTAACTACCAAAAAACCAGCATCATTAAACAATACTACAATATACTACATTTAACAACAATATCAACACTGACACTGTGATGATGTTATATGTCTGTATTTTTTACCTGTTTTTCAAAATCTCCAGGATATTCTGTTCCTAATTTAGACACAGTCTCCTTGCTCATAAGCTGTAATCAATACAAAAAGCTTTGAAATTCATTTAATTCTTTTTTAAAGAATATATATATATATATATATATATATGACCACTTAAAAACACCTGAATAAAATGAATCTGACCTCCTGAATAGCAGTCATCACCACATGCTGTACAGATTCCTCCAAAATCATGATAATCTGGACATAATCTGAACAACAAAATAATCTCACAAGGTTAAAATAATGAAATATATATGCATCACCAGGAAAATAGCTGTACATAATGATAGTAAATAACAACATTTTAAGGTTTGGGTGAACTATCCATTTAACTACCTTGTTTCCTGTCACATTGGACTGCACACCCCAGGATGAGCTGCAGGAGGCGTCCCAGCTCTACCTGATCAGACTGCTCTACCACACGCACCAGATCAGGCAGAGGGAAATCTGTGATCTGCTGAGCCAAAACCTGAACCCAAAGTGATCAGAACACATACTCATTATTAGAATGAATCAGTTTAAGCAGTTATTGAATCTTTGAAATAAATTATGAAAACAAATTGCAGGCATTAACACAGTCATACAATTAAACCGTCCATCATGTGACTGTAGGAATGTGTGAATTCAGAATGCTTTGTGTCAGATGAAAGGTTAATTCTGAAAGGTGCAATAGGTGATTGTCTTCAGAAAATTTTTTTGTTATGCTGGTTGAAAGTCTCTACACATCCCGATAGCAATCATTAAGTTAATTGGTCTAAAAATGTATTTATCTGTATTTATATATTTTGTGGAAAGCGTAGGACCAAGAAATGTTCGTCCAATCAAAACGCTCGGTCTGAGCGTTTTAATTGGCTTTCCTACCTGCCTGTCAACGTATGTATCTGCATACCTATCATGTGACTGTAGGAATGTGTGAATTCAGAATGCTTTGTGTCAGATGAAAGGTTAATTCTGAAAGGTGCAATAGGTGATTGTCTTCAGAAAATTTTTTTGTTATGCTGGTTGAAAGTCTCTACACATCCCGATAGCAATCATTAAGTTAAGTGGTCTAAAAATGTATTTATCTGTATTTATATATTTTGTGGAAAGCGTAGGACCAAGAAATGTTCGTCCAATCAAAACGCTCGGTCTGAGCGTTTTAATTGGCTTTCCTACCTGCCTGTCAACGTATGTATCTGCATACCTCTGCGTTTTTTTATAAAAGTTTATAAATCTAAATGTTTTGGCTCAAAATATGACATACATTTAATAAAGTTTGAAAAATTGGATTACAAAGGTAAAAAAAAATAAAAAATTTAAGGAGTCAAATATCGCCCTATAATGGGACGGTTAATTTCTGTCATTTTTCTGTGTTCCTAAAAAAAATTATCAAAAAAGAAATGTAAGCTTAGAGGCCTTAAAGGAATTTTTTTTTTGTTATGCTGGTTGAAAGACTCTTCACATCCCGATAGCAATCATTAAGTTAAGTGGTCTAAAAATGTATTTATCTGTATTTATATATTTTGTGGAAAGCGTAGGACCAAGAAATGTTCGTCCAATCAAAACGCTCGGTCTGAGCGTTTTAATTGGCTTTCCTACCTGCCTGTCAACGTATGTATCTGCATACCTCTGCGCACCTTGTTCGCGCAGACAGGATACGTCATCAGCACGTTCACGCATGCCGGTGAATGACACATCATGTAGCCCAGCGGTTCCCAATTCCAGTCTTCGCGCCCCCCCGCTCTGCATATGTTGCATGTCTCGCTTAGTTAACACACCTGATTCAGATAAACAGCTCGTTAGAAGTGAGCTACGTGCATGAACTGTGTTCCGATTGACATGCTCCCTGCACAGTGTTCTTTGCTCCATACTCCCTGAGCAGGGGAAATCCGTTGAAGTTTACTTCACTTTGGAACATTCATTTACGGATTTGCGCTGCGCAGCATCTTCACACACAGACGAAACTTACTAGAGAAGTGTGAAGTGTGACATAATATACCTCTGTAAATAAATACTATTTAAATTTACATCTCGCACAATTTAATGCCCTTTGTATGGAACATATACGCTCGCTTCGAACTGGAATCATGGTGGAATATCCGGTGATGTTCACTTCGCAGGGCACTTACGGTCAAAAAGGAGCATTACTGTCACATACTGATCTGGAGTGTGGAGTGTGCATAGATTTGGAAGAAAGAAAAAAAGACAGAAAAAAAACTAGATTCTATCTATTATTGGGAACCGCTGATGTAGCCTATTGTAGTAATGTTGTCTCTGGTATTCTGGTCTGTGAGCGTATATGCGTTCAGGGGGTGTGGCTTTGGACAGCGATTGCAGGGAGTGTGGGACATTCGCTTTCAGTGCTATCAGGCTAAAGTTAGCATTTCCCAAGATCTCCTACTGCACCTTTAAAGTCTGACTGATGATATCTGAAACAGTGTGTCATTTACCTCATTATAATAATCAACAATCATCTGCAGGATCTTTTTTAGATTGTTCATCTGTAAAAATGGCGAGAAACAAAGACTTTAGCTTTGACTAACACATTATATTTGGCATGTTCTCAAAATTAGATTTAAGCACAAAGGCATAAAAGAAAAATAAGTCTACCGTGAGTCTCACATTATCTCCAACATCCTCTTTAATGCGGGCCAGCCAGCTCTCATTGAACCATGAAGGATCTCTGTAATTGAAATATATTGATCAGTGCAGCACAGTCTTATCTAATTCAGATACTTTTAGAGGCTTTCATTCAGATCAGTTGGCAAAATGAAATCAAATATATTTTGTTCTTATCCCTTCCTACTTTAATATAATCAGAATTACATCACACTCTCAGGCTCTCCAGACTCTCTGATAAAAATATATAAATTTCACTAAACTTGAATGTTTATTCAACAAAAAATAATGTGTTTCAGGTAGACATGTGCCGGTATTCGGTAATGCGATATATCACGATAATGAATATGCACGATATTGTTATCGTGGGCACTTAATTATAATAATTATTTATTACAAATTATTCAGAATTTTGAATGCATTTTAAGAATACTTTTCCCATTAACTGGTCACAACACTGCTGTATGCTGCGTCACAGACGCATGCGCACTCAGATATAAACAAGCACGAATGAGAAGCGCATGGCGGAATGCGTGAGACGCTCTGGATGACAACACATTCACTGACAGCAGATGGAGCTGAACAGCAGAAATGCAGCCGTTACCCCAGAAACCCCAAACGTATTTAAATGATTTAAATAGCCATTTCGATTTTTGTATTCGCTATGGTGTTAATCACAGCGTCAAATACTTAAATATTTAGACTTAACAGACTATTTATTTTCATACTTTTTTACATTTTAATCTGGACTACAACCACTGATCACTATATATAGATCAGTGACTACAACACACCCTAGATATTGTTTGAAAGTGTTTTGATTCTTTATTGTTCGTCACACTTTACATTAGGGCTTCATTAGTTGACATTAGTTAATTCATTAGTTAACAAACTGGCAATGAAAAATTCTTCTAAACATTCATTAATCTTAGGTAATTCCAATATTTAATAACACATTCTTAAAATCAAAAGTTGCAACAGTGTTATTTAATGAACTAACATGAACTAAGAGTTGTATTTTTTAACAAAGATTAATATGCAAATGTAGGTATTGCTCATTGTGAATATTAATGCTTTAACTAAGGTTAACTAATGAGATCTTATTGTAAAGTGATACCTATTGGTCTTTATAATTCTTTTGCACTTTAATCAGTGTACATTTAAAAAATTTAGCCTATAAATTTTTTTGTGTATTGCTTTATTGTTGGCCTATTTAAATGTTCAGTTATTTTTGTTATAAAAAATTATTAAACCTGTTATACTGTATTATGATAACACTTTTTTGCAACTAAATTTCAATATCGTGATAATACCATATACAGTGATAAAAGAATTAGCAATTAATCGCAACATGAAAATTTGATACCGGCATATCCCTAGTTTCAGGTAATATGACTGAGGACTACCCACAACCCAACGCAAGTCATAAAATATTCACACACTGACAAGCTGAGATATAAATCTGTAATGCTGACCTGGAAAAAACTAATCTGATTTAGTAGAGCAAATAAGGAAACAAAAAATGGGGGCGAGTGAGAAATGTAAAACACAGTTAAGTATGAAAGGATGAGTCAAAGAAACACTGCAGATCAACTGGTAGTACATGGCACTAGCAACGTTGAAGTCATGGGTAATGAAATAAATACAACGAAAGCTATATAAGTTGCGTTGAATAAAAGCATCTGCCAGTGAATAAATGTAAACACACTCACATCTGATGCAGAGCCTGAGACATGGCTGCCCCTGAGGTCAGGTCCTTCACTGTCTTACAGGGGGCTGCAGTTTTGAAGGTTTGCAGCTGAGGCATATACAAAAAAAAAGAAACAAGTACTATAATAGACAATGATAAACTCAGTGGTGTAAAAAGTACCTGAAAGCCATACTCAAGTACAGATAGTACAGAAATCTTACCAGAAAATTACTTTGGTAGAAGTTGAAGTCACCGTTCAGAATATTACTTGAGTAAAAGTCTTAAAGTATGTTATATTTATTGTACTTAAGTTCGAAAAGTTTTTAATCTTAAACGTACTTAAGTATTGAAAGTAAAAGTACAAGTAAATGCAAAATGGAAAAGAAGCAAATAAATATATATAAAAAATGTTCATGCACTGCTTGTGTTCAGCAGTAGCAAGATTGTGTTCAGTTTTAACTCTTTCTTCCATTTTGTATTTTTGGGTAAGAATAAGAAGCACTTCATCCGGTACTTAGCGTCTTTCATTCCAACATAAAACATTTCTGGAATCTGCATCTGAAATAGCAATTAGATGTATTCACACAGTTTAATGTATCTCAGAGGGGGCATGGATGCATTTAACCTGCAGTTACAGATGGATAAATAATGTTTTGTTTGTAACATAAAACGTTGAATACTGATATTTAAAATGATTTAAAACATGAAAAAAATAGTAGAAATGTGAAATTAAAACCGCCAGTAGGTGGCAGCAAGTGACTGTTAATGGGTGAGTCATTGAGATTCAACTGATTCATTCAAACAGCTGATTCATTCAGAAACAAAGCATTTGACTGTGTTAATGAGTGAATTACTGAATCATTTTTATCAACCGATTCGTTCAAAAAGCTGATTCATTCAGTAAGTAAACACGGCCCACTGCTCAGAGACGCAAAACAGTGCTGTGATCTCTGTTTGGAACTATTTTCGTTGGCAAAATTGAGCAAAAACAAGCAATATTATGTCTAAAATGTAAGACACTTATTGCTTTACTGAACTTGTATAAAATGATTATTAACCGTGTTATCATGCTGATATCTGCAGAAAAACGGCACTCTTTACTTGATATAGATCATGCTAGAAAAAATAAGCTTACATTTTTTTTTATAGTTTAAAAAAGCTATAAAAAAATATAGCTTCAAAACCGCTCTTCAGAAACCTACGGGTGATGTCACGGACACTAGGCCTAATGTTTTGTTTTTAACATAAAACGTTGAATACTGATATTTAAAATGATTTAAAACATGAAAAAAATAGTAGAAATGTGAAATTAAAACCGCCAGTAGGTGGCAGCAAGTGACTGTTAATGGGTGAGTCATTGAGATTCAACTGATTCATTCAAACAGCTGATTCATTCAGAAACAAAGCATTTGACTGTGTTAATGAGTGAATTACTGAATCATTTTTATCAACCGATTCGTTCAAAAAGCTGATTCATTCAGTAAGTAAACACGGCCCACTGCTCAGAGACGCAAAACAGTGCTGTGATCTCTGTTTGGAACTATTTTCGTTGGCAAAATTGAGCAAAAACAAGCAATATTATGTCTAAAATGTAAGACACTTATTGCTTTACTGAACTTGTATAAAATGATTATTAACCGTGTTATCATGCTGATATCTGCAGAAAAACGGCACTCTTTACTTGATATAGATCATGCTAGAAAAAATAAGCTTACATTTTTTTTTATAGTTTAAAAAAGCTATAAAAAAATATAGCTTCAAAACCGCTCTTCAGAAACCTACGGGTGATGTCACGGACACTACGTCCATGTTTTTATACAGTCTATGGTTTGTATCCATCAATTTCCCATTCCGTTTAAAGAATTTAACTCCATTATAAAGGCGATTCCTGGTGGCATATTTTATAGATATGCCTGATGAAAGCTTCTCTCACCCATGAGTCATGCTCAAAACAACTTTCACAGTTATGTTTGGGAGGTGTTTCGCTTTTAAGTAAAGAATGTAGTAATTCATTTATTTGTCAACTTTCTCAATCTCGAAACTCAATTTCTCCAAAAGGGAAACTTTTGGGGGGTTCTAAAATAGATAACATTCAATGGAGGAAAACATGGAACTAATCTGATTTAGTAGAGCAAATAAGGAAACAAAAAATGGGGGCGAGTGAGAAATGTAAAACACAGTTAAGTATGAAAGGATGAGTCAAAGAAACACTGCAGATCAACTGGTAGTACATGGCACTAGCAACGTTGAAGTCATGGGTAATGAAATAAATACAACGAAAGCTATATAAGTTGCGTTGAATAAAAGCATCTGCCAGTGAATAAATGTAAACACACTCACATCTGATGCAGAGCCTGAGACATGGCTGCCCCTGAGGTCAGATCCTTCACTGTCTTACAGGGGGCTGCAGTTTTGAAGGTTTGCAGCTGAGGCATATACAAAAAAAAAGAAACAAGTACTATAATAGACAATGATAAACTCAGTGGTGTAAAAAGTACCTGAAAGCCATACTCAAGTACAGATAGTACAGAAATCTTACCAGAAAATTACTTTGGTAGAAGTTGAAGTCACCGTTCAGAATATTACTTGAGTAAAAGTCTTAAAGTATGTTATATTTATTGTACTTAAGTTCGAAAAGTTTTTAATCTTAAACGTACTTAAGTATTGAAAGTAAAAGTACAAGTAAATGCAAAATGGAAAAGAAGCAAATAAATATACATAAAAAATGTTCATGCACTGCTTGTGTTCAGCAGTAGCAAGATTGTGTTCAGTTTTAACTCTTTCTTCCATTTTGTATTTTTGGGTAAGAATAAGAAGCACTTCATCCGGTACTTAGCGTCTTTCATTCCAACATAAAAGAATCTGCATATCTGCATCTGAAATAGCAATTAGATGTATTCACACAGTTTAATGTATCTCAGAGGGGGCATGGATGCATCAGTTACAGAGTTACAGATGGATAAATAATGTTTTGTTTGTAACATAAAACGTTGAATACTGATATTTAAAATGATTTAAAACATGAAAAAAATAGTAGAAATGTGAAATTAAAACCGCCAGTAGGTGGCAGCAAGTGACTGTTAATGGGTGAGTCATTGAGATTCAACTGATTCATTCAAACAGCTGATTCATTCAGAAACAAAGCATTTGACTGTGTTAATGAGTGAATTACTGAATCATTTTTATCAACCGATTCGTTCAAAAAGCTGATTCATTCAGTAAGTAAACACGGCCCACTGCTCAGAGACGCAAAACAGTGCTGTGATCTCTGTTTGGAACTATTTTCGTTGGCAAAATTGAGCAAAAACAAGCAATATTATGTCTAAAATGTAAGACACTTATTGCTTTACTGAACTTGTATAAAATGATTATTAACCGTGTTATCATGCTGATATCTGCAGAAAAACGGCACTCTTTGCTTGATATAGATCATGCTAGAAAAAATAAGCTTACATTTTTTTTTATAGTTTAAAAAAGCTATAAAAAAATATAGCTTCAAAACCGCTCTTCAGAAACCTACGGGTGATGTCACGGACACTACGTCCATGTTTTTATACAGTCTATGGTTTGTATCCATCAATTTCCCATTCCGTTTAAAGAATTTAACTCCATTATAAAGGCGATTCCTGGTGGCATATTTTATAGATATGCCTGATGAAAGCTTCTCTCACCCATGAGTCATGCTCAAAACAACTTTCACAGTTATGTTTGGGAGGTGTTTCGCTTTTAAGTAAAGAATGTAATAATTCATTTATTCGTCAACTTTCTCAATCTCGAAACTCAATTTCTCCAAAAGGGAAACTTTTGGGGGGTTCTAAAATAGATAACATTCAATGGAGGAAAACATGGTTATTAAATACTGTATACCCAATAAAGTGAAAGAAGTGCATTTAAAAATGTTGCATAATATATACCCTTGTAACGCTGTTGTGTCGAAATTTTGTGATGTAGCTGATATATGCACCTTCTGTAAAAAAGAAAGTGAAGATATTTGTCATTTATTTTTCTCTTGTAATGTTTCATCACTTTTCTGGAAAGATTTGAGTTCCTATTGTTTTTCTAAAGTTAATATGAACTGTAATTTACACATTAAGGATGTTGTTTGCTTTTTTGAAAACCAAAACAAATCTTTAGAATCTGCTGTTAACTTTCTTATCCTTGTGGCAAAATTCAATTTTAACAAACAAAGGTTTCTTAAGAAAAGACCTACTTTTATAGATTTCTTATGTGAAGTAGAACATTTAATTAAATCACTAAGAGTAATTAATAACAAAAAATGTATTTCTTTTTTGAAGAGATATGATGAGATCTTTCATGTACCGTGATTAATACTTGTTTTCGTGTTTTACATTTTTTTTATTATTATTTTATTTTTTTAAATCCTCTTTTCTTTATTTGTTCTGTTCCTGCCTTTCTTCATGTTCATAAAAAAGCGGTTTAAATGCATCTTTCTCTTTTAACTGTCATTATCAACTTCTTTTTTTTCTTCTCTTCTCTTCCATATGTTCAGATGACATTGGATGTATTGTTGATACATTATGTGTAATGTATGCAAAGTTGTTATTCATTAATGTCAATTGAATTGTTCGCAATAAAAAAATAAAAATAAAAATACAGTCTATGGTTTGCACACGATCAAAGCAGGAGTCTGACTTGCAAACGCCAGACCACTGATTCGTCAAACCTGCTTTCCTGCAGTCCGTGCTCTTCTGACTTTTGACTATTTTGTAGTAAGTAACGAATATGCTTCAGGGAAATGTATCAGAGTAAAAGTATACATTTTAATTAGGAATTGTAGTGGCGTAAAAGTAAAAGTTGTCTGAAATATAAAAACTCAAGTAAAGTACAGATACTCCCAAAAAATACTTAAGTACTGTAACAAAATATTATTACTTCCTTACATTACACCACTGGATAAACTACAAAGAATATGCATGAACACAGGGGTTCCCAAACTTTTTTTTGTCCACTGAACCACCTTATATGTAAAAAATTTTGGCTACTTGAGATATTGTTAATAAATTAAAAAATTAAATCACACATTAATATTATTACCTGTAATAGTTAAAAAACGTTTTATTTTGAATAATTGTTGTGTAGTCATTCTGACACAGAGGATTTTCTTTTCCCTGAAAATGCTAGTTAATGTTCGTTTAAAAATAAAAATACAGTCTATGGTTTGCACACGATCAAAGCAGGAGTCTGACTTGCAAACGCCAGACCACTGATTCGTCAAACCTGCTTTCCTGCAGTCCGTGCTCTTCTGACTTTTGACTATTTTGTAGTAAGTAACGAATATGCTTCAGGGAAATGTATCAGAGTAAAAGTATACATTTTAATTAGGAATTGTAGTGGCGTAAAAGTAAAAGTTGTCTGAAATATAAAAACTCAAGTAAAGTACAGATACTCCCAAAAAATACTTAAGTACTGTAACAAAATATTATTACTTCGTTACATTACACCACTGGATAAACTACAAAGAATATGCATGAACACAGGGGTTCCCAAACTTTTTTTTGTCCACTGAACCACCTTATATGTAAAATATTTAGGCTACTTGAGATATTGTTAATAAATTAAAAAATTAAATCACACATTAATATTATTACCTGTAATAGTTAAAAAACGTTTTATTTTGAATAATTGTTGTGTAGTCATTCTGACACAGAGAGGATTTTCTTTTCCCTGAAAATGCTAGTTAATGTTCGTATTAGTCTAACTTACCAACTTTGCACCCACAGGCTATAACAACATCCAAAACATTGATTCATGGATTTACTGATTGATTTACCATTTTTGCACTTTTTGGAAAAAAAAGAAAGAAGTAGTAATTGTAGAGGAGTAAAACAATGTGCTAACTGAAAGAAAACAAAGTGACAAAAACATTAAATCCAGGTAATTTTTTAGGGCCAGTCATTTTTGACCGTAAACACTAAATTTGGAAAAAGCACAAAGGTTAATTTTACATTTGATTGAATTATTAGTTTCTTATCAGCTTGTCATTTGGGAAACCCTGCATTACTACAATAAAAGGCTAAATCACCACTGACAGCATGATAGTATATTTAATAGAAAATCCTGGAGGTTTTGTACATTTAAGTTTTGTCATCCAATCTGCTTTGACATAGCATATAGAACTCTCACTAAAGAAAAACACAATTAACATTAACAAAATGCTCCATAATGTTGTTAAGGGATGTATTTACTAAAGAACTTTTACACTACAATAAAACATTTTTATAAACTCCAGTGACATACATACATATATATATATATATATATCTGTTGCATCTTACAAGTCTTTCTGAAAACTATCCAGAAGGGGCCTTGTTGTAAACGCAATGTAAACACAGTCATGGATCAGAGCCAGAGAATCGAGAGCACGCGCCGCATGCGATCACACACACCAGTCCAAAATCAAAACGCCATCCTATTAAACTGAGACCGGGAATATCTGATTGCATAAGACACATTCCACAAATACTCTAGCTAACCAGATTAGTCGTCTAAATCGGATGAGGATGGAGTTGGCTGTAACTGTTGGTGTTGCTTACATGTCTAACCGCATTCTGAGGCTGGTTTGTCTTTATGATTTTTGTATATAACGTTATTGGTGTCGCGTGTTGGACGGGTGCCGCTTGGAGAAATGAGCGCATTTTTAAAGGTTGCAATGATGCACCGCAGACCCCGTTGGTTTATAAGAGCAAGTGCACACATCTAAATGTCTTATTTCCGGTATTTTTTGACCATGAAGGAAACGACTACCTGTAACAGGTAACGCTATCGTCAAGGATCTGACCGCAGATAAATAAACGATTCCTGATTCCAGTGACCTTTAGAGCTAAACTAAAAGATAGGATCTTACCCAAATAATCAGGCTCTCGCACAGCACCGTTTTATTTAAATCCATATCTCCTCTGTGCTATGGGGGAAATATTTCCGTCCACCTGTCAACAATGCGCTTCCCCTTCCCACCTCGCGTGTATTTCATACATGCTCACCAGCACTACGTTCACGTCTATTGCGTCTACGCACTAATTGATACGTAAAGGCTTCGTGAATGTCCGCCGCGGACACATCGCGTGCTGCGTTGATAAGGATTGGGGGATTGACGAGATCAAGAGCGCAACAGCAAGAAATAAAACACCAATGGTGTACTGAGTTCAGGACACCGTGTAGCCAATCAAAACAGAGATCCGAAGAGACTGGCAGAGCAGAGAACACGGATCATGTGGAATAAAGCGTTTGGTTTCCACACTATGGAAACAGAATAGGCTATGGGCACCTAAAAAGTGAAAATAAAATAGCCTACAATGTGTTACAAAATACTGTCAAATTTATCATCAAAATGCACAGATTCATCCAAATAAGCACGCTTAAAAAAATATTTAGCCTTAAAAATATTAAGCCTATAAAGACATATTTAAAATGCTAATTTAAGATGATCAGCTGGTACCATCTTGGACCAGCAACAAACCAAAGGTGGTCAATCTGAAATGTAGCCTAGTAGGCTAGTTGGTCATCCAAAAAATGATCAGCTATCGCCATAATGATCATCTTTGAACAGGTAGCCTAATGATTATTTTATTATACCAGCTATGACCAGAAACCATTAAATCATGTTCCAAATCATGCAAATCATTATCATTTTTCAATACTTATTGGGTAAATCTGACAATTTTTTATTTGTTTTAATGTAGTTATTTTTACTTGTCATCCCATAGGGACATTCACTTTTATGCACAGATGCTTTATGATCAACAGCTCCCAAAGACAGGTTTTTTTTAAGTAGCCATTTATTTATTTTATTGCCACTGCCACTTATACAAATATGAGTTAAGCTACACTAATGGTACAGAATAAAGGTGACTAAACCTTCAAATTAACTTATTTAAAAAACAAATAATTGAGAAAAAATGTAAAATTGAGTTTAAATAATGATGTACATACTTTAGATTTACACTGATTTGTGTTTTCTGTTGTTAAACATTAACGTCTCTCAATCTTTTTATTACCTTTTTGTAATAAAAACATAAGATAAGATTGTGATGTGAAGTCACATGCGTTTACCTAGTATGGGATGAGCACATGTGGGAATACGTCATATACAAAATAAGAGACACATTAGTGCCTTTATTGCAAACAATTGTATAATATATAAATAGTTAATAATCAATAGAATTAGAAATAAAAATAAATAAAAATAGATAAAAATAGATAAACTGCATACCTTTAAAGTTTAGATAAATTATTTCTTTTATTCACTCCATTTATAATTTCACCATAAAGCCACATTTGATAACATTAAATTTCGTCTTCAACCTGTTAACCACATGGGACAGCGTAACTGGTGGCAGTATTCCTTAACTGACATGACACTGGACTTTAAACCATGACAGCCTCCAGATTCTCATTTGGCCCTGGGTCTTTAACCCACCCCTATGCCATCAAGGCCCTTGTGGATCAACAGCTGCTATTTTCAGCCACAACGACCTTGCGGTTTAGGCAAAAACGAGAAAGGTAAATATTAGCTTGAGAAATTTTTAGCATAAAGCTCCAGGGCAAATGCACTGAAATGGAGCCAATTTGGAAGTGGGGTAACTAAGTTACAAAAGCTGTCTCATCAATAAAGAATGTTGATAGATATAAGAAACTTATAAATAACCCACACATGATACACTCTATTTGAGGGTCAATGTGTAATATAATAAGCCTATAGTATTAGTGTAGTATTAAAGCAGGTGTAGATTGTTTTAACATGCTGGATTGCCCTGCATGATTGTTCCAGGCATCCCAGTGAAATGCCTTTCTTTGTTCATCCATATGGGACAGTGTAGATTGTGTAAACGTACAGTAAACCATTGACAGGTTAACCAGACACCTAACCTACTTAAAATAGGAGGAGACTTACAACCTGTGTCTTTGAACCTGTGATAGTGGTCACATGACATAAATACAACACTGGAGACCGAGAAATCAGTGCAAATAGTCAATAAACAGATTTTCACATGCATTAACATTTTGTAGAGGTCCGTAAGGTTGCAAGCAAGTTTCCTGAATTTCGAAAACCCAACAGGGAGTCATTGTAGTTACCTAATCTCCAAAAAAGGGGACTGATGCCCTGGTCAATGATTAACCCGTCTGTCAAATTTACTGTGTACAATGCAGCAGTGAGAAAGCATTCCAGTCTCTGCCTTCCACAAGAGAAAGCAACTGAATTACGAACAAGAAACATGCCCACCAGCCACAGCTTCCACAACAGGTGAGAGAGACAAACTCTTTGGGTTAGATTTGTATTAATTATATTTCATGCACATTTTTGTGCCCAGTAATCCAATCTGAAACTGTCTGCTGTGTAATGTTTAAATGCTGCCATTGGAGAATTTTGTCTGATATAAGGCTATATTTAAACATTTTAATGATATGCAGCATTATTCATTTTATAAATAATTAAATATTTATATATAGCTATACATGTAATATGATGAAGTGTTGTGTCCTGAGACTGCAGGTTAACTGTGTTATGGTATTGTGGGGCAATAAAAGGCACCACACAGAAACTAAATATTATGACATCAGACAGTTCAGTCATGTCAGTCTAACTTTATTCAGTTCTAAACTGAACTCAGAGTCTTACAATTCTCAAATACTTTCACATAGGATAATTTTCACAATGTTGTGTTGTTTTAAAGACATAGGATGCTGTATAAGATAACATAACTGCAGGATATCAAGCTATAATAAGATGCAAATATAGTTATTTTCATATCAAAGGCAAATGTTAGTTCAATAGTACTGACATATTTCAAAGGCTGATGTACTTTAAAGGGGTCATATGATGTTGCTAAAAAGAACATTATTTTGTGTATTTGGTGTAATGAAATGTGTTTATGCAGTTTAAGGTAAAAAAACAGATTATTTTCCACATACTGTACATTATTGTTTCTCCTCTATGCCCCACCTTTCTGAAACACGTCGATTTTTACAAAGCTCATCGGTCTGAAAAGCGAGGTGTGCTTTGATTGGCCAGCTATCCAGTGCATTGTGATTAGCCGAATACCTCAAGCATGTGACAGAAATGTTATGCCCCTACCATACTGTGCTGCCCTGTCCGGCCGGAGTGACGAGACAAAAACATTCAATCCCATTATAAACGAGGCATTTGTTGCATCCAGTGGGGACATAATTACTGATTATAATTACTTATACTGTCTTTTTATACATTGCATCGCGCCGCGTAACATAAAACCATGTCTGCATTTGTGATCGGAGAAATGACAAACAACAAGTGCTACTCTACACTGCTCAAAACTCACGTTTGAATCGTCAGTGGCAAATTCTTTAAATATGAAAAAGTCATAACAGCCGGCATTGTAGTCTACTCTCCCAGGATCAGGAAACAGTCCTCCATAAAATGTGCTGCACACATCTGAATATTTGGATTGAAGTGTTCTGGAACAGTGTTGTAAATACAACTTAACCACTGATTTCTAGTCATGTCCTCTTTTGGAAGACCAAACAAAGTAGTTTCGCTTTCACAACGAAACACAGCGTCACACACGGCGGGCTTGAGTGAGCGGCGGCCGGCAGATTCAACAAAGGAGCAGCCGGTGGGCTTGCGGCAACCACATGTGACGACCCCGGGCTGGACTTTGCTTCATCCACGATGAAAGCCGATCCGGATCCACAGCGCGAAGTTGATGTATTTCCTCAGTGACCAGCAAGGATCAGCTCTAGGCATGACGAAGCGGATATCGTCCTCTTTTGGAAGGCTTTCACAACGAAACACACAGTGTCTTCACGACATGGCGGCAGAAACAATGCTACAGCGAGAATAAAAGTTACGCCTTCTTTCTTTGAGTGAACATTTGGGCGGCGTTATGCAAATCTTACCACATCGTGACGTAGACATGTGGGGGTGTGTTAGAACGAGCCGTTTTAGGGGCCATTCACATATCGCGTTTTTTGCGCGATATGTGCACAAAAAACTTTTTTTTGTTGTTTTCTCAAGTTCGTTATTTCAAATGAAGATGCGCGGCAGGCGCGCTCATAATGGAAGCGACGTGGTCGCAACGCGCTCATTTTTTCCAGGCGCTTCCGCGCCGCATCGAGATGAAAACATTTATACTTTTCAGAATGCCGCAAGCGCACCGCGGGTCATGTGACAAGAACCAACCAATCAGCTTCATCTTTTCCCGTAACAACATTGAAAGCTCAGTCAAGATCAAGGAACAGCTGATCATAGCTGTACAGGGATAGCCATTTTTAAATAAATTTAGTAGCAGAGCTACTGCAAGCGAGTTTTAGTGCTGCAAATCTATTTATCTTTTGCTGAAACTCCCAGTCTTCATGGAGAGCGGAGGTCATGGTTGCTTAGCAACGGCAGACGCCTCCGGAGCGCAAGTGCCCGAACGCTTTGGAAAAAAGCAGAAAGCGGCGCACCTAGCGTTTTCTACGCGTTTTTAGGCGCGACATGTGAACAGCCCCTTAGGTAGGCGTGGTTGACTCTTAACTTTTATAAAGAATATCTCTTTGGATTTGAGACTTTAGTCTTTGCAACTTTACAGATCTTCTTTATGCACCAAGAGCTTGTAACACTCTAAAGAGAAAGGAAAAATTTAAATTGCATCATATGACCCCTTTTGGCTGTCTGATGTCGCCTTATCTGGTAAAACACACAGGTGTGTCAGACAGCTAAATTTAGATTTCATACTTGCTCTTCCAGACCACTCATTGATAAAAAATGTTATATATTTTGTAAAAAAAAGAAAAGAAAAGCGGGTTGAGATGAATAAATATTTTTATTTTAGGTACTTTTCAATACTGCTTACTCAGAATTTCAAAAGAAAATCTGTAAACTGTAATCAGGGCCGTTTCTAGCCAATTTGACGCCCTAGGCGATATCCCTATTGCAAATCTATATATAATTCTTATCAGACACCAGTTGCTTGTCACATTCAAATTGGTTGTCATAGTAACAACACTAATTTGTGGAGATTCAGCGCACTGAGTTCCACAAATCTGAATGCATTATTTGTAAATTGACTTAAGATAAACATTTTGCACAATTTAGTATCTGTAATATCATTGTGTTGCCACTAGATGACTGTATAGCCCTATGTAACAATCCCTAGTGGCTAAGACATTGCACATAATTTACACATAAATCACACATAAATTAATTTTATTACATTTTGATTTGTATACTATATACTATACTACTACATATTGTTTAGATATTATCAATGGCTACTTTTTTTGTTTAATTTTTTTGTTGTTGTTTCTTGAAACATTGATTTAAAGTGTCAGTTATTGCATTATTATTTCAGTCAAACCTATAAAACCCCCTTGTTACCCCAAACTACATATAAAAGCTTTATCAGTGGCATAAAAGTAACCAATGCAGCTACTTAATAATTTGCTACTCGTTAACGCGTTAACGTCCTCTTTAAATAATGTGACCTCTGCCCTCTATGACGCTGCTCTCCCCTTCAGCTGGTGGCGCCCTAGGCGACCGCCTAGCTCGCCTATGCCTAGAAATGGCCCTGGCTGTAATGATGATGTTTTAACTCACTTTGCATATATAATGATAATGACCTTATAAACTCTAGTCCTGCTTTGTGATTTGAAGTCTCTCAGTTCAACAGAATGGCTGAACATAAAATCCACAGTATTGCATTTTAAATTTCACAATTACTGTTTTTACTGTGTGTATATATAGACAGAAAAGGTAAAGCTCTCATTTTATTTGGCTTTTATTCTGTCTTTATTCTCAGGTGAATAAGATGTGCCATCTCTTCAGAGAGACCAGAACTGACTGTAAAGAGAGAGAAGTGCTCAAACATGTCAGAGACTATAACAAGCGCTACTCCGGAGCACCAAGACAGGTACAAACATTTGCTTAAAGTTGGTCTAAAGCAATAATGTGTCTTTTTTTTTAAATGCCATGTCAGACTGTAATCATATCAGTTTGCTTTTTGGGTAGTCAGACTGGCAAACGATGCGATTGTAGCTACTGTAATGCTCTCAAAGACAAGTGACGGCTGACTTGAAAAACTACATTATATAACCATTCTTTGTGTTGACAAACTCGTGCCGCTCCCAGTAAATTTGTACAATTACCATTATTACTTCTCAGCAGTGTGTTTATTATTTTATTTGCTCTGGATTATATCACATCACCACACCTATTTTAGTTCCTGATGCCACAAAGGTTGTGAAACCTCAGGCCAGGAAGGACAGTTTCCTACAGTTGGAAGACACCCATGGACATGTTTTTATTGTTCAGATACGCAGCACACACTGATATCCCACGTGCTAGTTCATATGCTACAGTATGATTGTCATCTTTTCCCTTTTTTAGGTAAAGGATTACTTGTGCGATACACCCCTCTTTCTGCTCTTTCTGGTGCGATGGCTGGGGAACATGAGCGGCCTGGTGTGGCTGTTTCTCTTGAGGGTGGCTGTCTGTGGATTTGGCGCTGCCATGTCTTTGGCCTCCCCACTGGAGACTCTTCCTGGGCCGCTGAGCAGTGTGCTGGGCACGCTGGATGATTTTGTAGTGGTCTTCCTTCTTCTCATCTGCATTATTAACATCAACCAGCAGATGGGGCCGCAGAGGACAAGAACACACTCGGTCATGCAGGGTGTGCTGACCGACACGTTGTAGAGGACAGTGATGATGTGCTTACTAGCATGTTGAAATTACACTAATCAACCTTGTTGGCAAAGGTTAACAGTGTTATGGCCTGCTGCACTTTGATCTTATTGAACATGGATTTTCAATGATGATGTGTCTAGAATAGACTTACAGCACTAAATGAGATGAGTGGAGTTCTGATGTTTTAAAAACAGCAATTTAAGGTGTTTTATTAAAGACATTGTATATAATAAATGTAAAGTGGTTTTGTAAATATGCAAGTTTATAATAAATATTTATATATACATTTATTTGTTTTTTTTTATGGTGTCTGAATACTTGATTCTAGCTGTGCATTTTCCCTTACACACACGACAAACATTTTATAATCAGGAATTTATTAAATGCTTTGAGTTTAATTCTTTGAAGTGTGTTTGCAGTGTTTCATCAAAAACTTGTAGTTGAATAATTTCAATGTTTATTTTTTCCTTTTTGTAAATAAAAATGGTGATAATGAAATTCAAACAGCACAAATTTAGAGTGTTTTTCTCATCATTAAACCTTTTCTCAGTGCAAAGTTAATAATTTCTGGAATGTCTATTTTGGATTTTTAAATGAAAAATGGTGATAATCAGCCATTAAATTTTAATTGTATCTCAAAAATGCTCAATAAAGAGCCCATTATGAATTTAGACATGTATATGTTGAGGCATCAGTTTCCAGCAGGACTCTACATGTTAATTCTACTTGAATGCAAACTAAGTCTGTATGTAGGAATGTAAGATTTCGAAAAGTCAAAGTGTCAAATTTTTAAACAAGAATCTTAAAGGAGTAGTTCACCCAAAAATGAAAATTCTGTCATTCACTAACCCTCATGTCATTTCAAACCATATTAAGAATGTTGACAACCAAACAATTTTGGTTCCCATTGACATTGACAAAAAATATAATGTAAGATGCATTCAGGTTTAAAATGACATGAGGGTGAGTAAATGATGACAGTTTTTTGGGTGAACTATCCCTTTAACAAGTTGTCTAGTTAGCCTATTTGTTTAGTTGTCTATCACAACTGTACAGTAGCATATCTCTATGAGCTCTGACACCAGACTGCCGCATTACGGAACATGCTAAGCCACGGTGAGGCCTCCAGTGATCCCCTGAGGTGCTGAGGGGCCCAAGCCCACTGCCAGCCCAGCACGGCCCGCTCTGGATGGGGCATCATAGCCAGGTGACGGCCATCTGCTGAGCAGATGCCTGCAACACCTTGTGCAGAACCATTGGGGTTCATGGGATAGATTTCAGTCGGGGTTCCCGAATCATCCACATAACGCAGAGGAGCCAAAGAGGCACCGATCAGCTTCTTCTGAGCCTCAGGAGAACGAAACTGCATCAGACCTATAGAACAAAAGAGGAGTTTTTAAAGTCTGTGTGTACCGGAAATTGCTGCCAACTTTATTTCAGTGCAGTGACATTTCCAACTGAAACGGAATATTGAATAGAAGACAGGGTTTAATTTTAGCCCTCCTCCTCTCCATCTCTTGAAGGGGCATGGTTCACCCAAGCTGTCAAACTGACATCATCAGAGAAGGAATGCAATTCCAGAGCGGAAGCAAATATTCAGATTTTGATTAAAGGTTACCAAGACAAAGACATTTTTTTCAGTGGATTAACTTGCATGGATTAATTGTTCTCCTCAAGACTAGCAATGTGCGCTAACAAAGTAAATAAAGTCAATTTTGATTTCATTTCATGAGGACCAATGTCACACAATCATGTTCCTTCACAGAAGCCGCCAAATTACTTGTGTAATCATTGTCAGGTGTGATTGTGGTTAAATTGATGGTGATGCAAGAGTCTTAGGACACAGCTGTGTGATTCTTTTGGATGTACAAAGCCTATCCTGCTCATTAAGTGATTGATAACATCAGGGTTTTGTCACTGAGGCCACACCAACAATTGGTATAAAGGGGGGAGGGAGGACATATAAAAATGAGTGTCTCTTGCCAACAGTTAAACAGAGGGAATAGTATTATGGTGTGGGGTGCCATTTCAGCCTCAGGAATAGGTGACTTAGTGAACATTGATGGCATCATGGATAAGAAGGTATACCACAATATTCTGAGGCACAGAGTACCTTCTGGGAATCATCTTATTGGGCATGGATTTATTTTTCCAAGAGGACAATGACCCTAAACATTCTTCTAACTATTGCCGGAACTACCTGCGATGGAAGGAAACACTGAAAATGATGGGCTGGCCCCCTCAAAGTCCGGACCTCAACCCCATCGAGCAAATTTGAGGCGAGTTGGAAAATAAACTGGACAGATCTACTGTACATTCAAAGGAAAGCCTTTGGCTTGAGTTGCAGAAGGCATGGGATAACATTAGTGTTGGCGTTCTCAGGAAATATATTGACACGATGCCAGAGAGATATGCTGCTGTAATTGCTGCAAAAGGTGGACATACCAAATATTAAAGTTAAAAGTGGATAAAAACAGTATGACTCACTTCATCTGATATTTGTTGTGCTCAGAGCAACCATCTGCATGTTTCATGAACATTATAAAATGAAATATTGTTTTGGAGGCAAAAAAAAAAAGCCAATATTTTCAGATCTGTCAGGTGTTCTAATAATTTGGGCCACCACTGTATTTATGATGAAAATAATTATTAAAAAGTCTAATATAATTTATAATGGCAAAGTCCGGACCTCAACCCCATCGAGCAAATTTGAGGCGAGTTGGAAAATAAACTGGACAGATCTACTGTACATTCAAAGGAAAGCCTTTGGCTTGAGTTGCAGAAGGCATGGGATAACATTAGTGTTGGCGTTCTCAGGAAATATATTGACACGATGCCAGAGAGATATGCTGCTGTAATTGCTGCAAAAGGTGGACATACCAAATATTAAAGTTAAAAGTGGATAAAAACAGTATGACTCACTTCATCTGATATTTGTTGTGCTCAGAGCAACCATCTGCATGTTTCATGAACATTATAAAATGAAATATTGTTTTGGAGGCAAAAAAAAAAAAGCCAATATTTTCAGATCTGTCAGGTGTTCTAATAATTTGGGCCACCACTGTATTTATGATGAAAATAATTATTAAAAAGTCTAATATAATTTATAATGGAAAAAAAAAAACTATTAAAACGATATATTTTTTTCTTATTATTTTTCTAGTGGTCTCAGACTTTTGGAACTCACTTGCAATAGAAGTAAATGCACTTGTCAAGTACAATGAACAGTACAATGAACATATTTCTAACCTTCTCCATGAGCAACCCAAATGCCCAGAGCAGATCCCTCCATTCCCTTAAGCATGATGGCCGGAGAGGGCAGGATACCTATACTCACAAACCTCGATTCAAACCGACCAGACTTATTATGGGTCAGAGTAACATCAGAACCTACAATAAAAATGAATAAAAAAATATTTAATTTATAAAAATAAAAGGAGCAAGGTAAATTCTTGAGGCGGTTGTTGGTATTTACATATGGTGAAACTAAAAGGTTTCTCTCTCACCTCCATCCACTCTTTCACCCACCCAGCCAAGCAAAGCCATGAGCTGACACCCGTTACACACTCCTAGACTCAGCGTGTCATCACGATTGCGGAAGAGTTCAAACTCCTCACGAGCCTTGGGGTTAAAGGTCACTGTGGCAGCCCACCCTGATGAATAAGAAAAAAAGTCAAAGCTTTTGATCATCAGCTGGAGAACAAGTGCTAAGACCCAGTCATTTTTTCAGTCATGGCCTAATGGTTAGAGAGTCGGACTCGTAACCCAAAGGTTGCGGGTTCGAGTCTCGTACCGGCAGAGATTGTAGGTGGGGGGAGTGAATGTACAGCGCTCTCTTCCACCTTCAATACCACGACTGAGGTGCCCTTGAGCAAGGCACCGAACCCCCAACTGCTCCCCGGGCGCCGCAGCAAAAATGGCTGCCCACTGCTCCGGGTGTGTGTGTGTTCACTGCTGTGTGTGCACTTTGGATGGGATAAATGCAGAGCACTAATTCAGAGTATGGGTCACCATACTTGGCCACATGTCACGTCATTTATATTTTCAGTAGGCAGAGTGGCAAGGCCAGTACTAAATAACCTATGACCTGAGTCACAAATCTATGGTCATTTGAACATTCAATGGTGGGGATGAGTTAATGCTTGTTATCATTATATAGCAAAACTAACATACAGTTCAGCAGTGATATGCAAGATTGCTGCAACACGCAATAGTGTGATTTTCACCTTTAGCTGACCCCAGCACATCTGCATAGCTAAAACCACCCACAAACACCACGGCTCGGAAGGGGTCAAGGGTCATGGAGCCTGAGCACAGGTCCTGCATTGTGACATCCCACACCTACAGATCATACAAGAAAAAAGGTAAAAATGTCAAAATTAATTCAACTTAGCCTTATTAAAAGTTAAAATGAAAACGTTTAAAAGCAAACAACCAGCATTTGTGCTATTAGTGAACAAACATCATCCCTAAATCCTTTTAATAAAAAATTACTGACTACAAACTCCAACACATACATATTTAAAAACACAAATCTTGAATCTTTCTTTGTGTAGGTGTGTCTTTACCTCGAATCCAGCCATGAACAGAGAAGCAGACATCTCTCTGTCTCCGTTACTGCCTTCCTCTCTCACAACAGCTGCACAAGGTTTCCCTGAAGCTGAAACGCAAGTCACATATTTTAACATACAGGTCAAGTATAAATATGGGAAAGATTCAAGATTGATGGTCTCACAGAGCTCTTTAATGATGGGTGTTTGGGAGGGGTCAAAGGTGAGCTTGAGGTACTGCTGTGTGCGAGAAGCAAGCCCTTCTTCTTCCTCTTGGACACACAGTGGATTAGCCTGCAGTCTCTCCAGCTGAAAACTAGTGCTTTCCCATATTGCCCTAAGTGTGGGTAGATGCTCATTCAGCACTTCCTGTCCACAAAGACTCACTCTGACCTACAAGACAGTATGGAGAAGAAATCAGCAGTTATTAAACGCTTTCTCTGCAATCACTGAGGTCCAATAATATTCCACTGAG